AACAGGAACTCCTGTGGGAATGAAAGTGAAAGCGGGGAACCAAGCAGGAGGTTGAATAGGAACTCTAAATGCTCATTATCCCACAGAGACCTACGTCAGCTGGGTCATGTACACAGAGAGGGAACCCACACCTGTGATACCACTCAGTGTGTGCTGGTGCATGAGGACACAGGGCATGGTGCCACATTGTCAACCCCAATGTCCCTCAGCACAGGGTTTGGTTAGCCGGCAGGGTTTGGTTTTTCCTCCAGTCAGACTTTCTCAATGGAGGTAGTAGTATGTTGATTGACCGTGCGATGCCGCCTTCACCTCATCGTCAGAACAGTTCCAGTGTGAGCTTTGAGCCCAGGAACATGTGGATCCAGAGCTACCCTTGCCTCTATGTCCCCGGAGCCATACAAACTCCTGGTGGAGGAGCGGGCTTCACTGGGGAGTCTTTGAGACTCAGCATCTGGAATTAGTCCTGTGAGACTTGCTGAGTCAACTTCTTCCCGAGCTCCCAGAAGTTGGAAGAAATGGGTCCCCAGGGGCATCAGCTCCTTTCTTTCCATACATTATTGTGCCGTCATTCATTACCAATGTCTCTGGAATGCGGACATCACCCGATTAATCCCGTGTGCACAGACTCAGCGCTGTTTCTGGATCTGCAGTACCGGAGACAATGCTTTGCACTCGGCTCACTAATGAGCCAGCCGGTCATCCTCGCTGACACCTTTCCACTGGGAACCCCCACCCCCCCGTTTGCTCATTGTCCACTGTGTCTGGGTTCATCTGACGGCACCCGGATGCATTCTGTTACAGCTGTGATGCTGTCTTAATGCCATATCTGAGATTTTTGTGAGGGGGACTCTGCCGGCATCGTGAGAGGCAGGGGAGTGAACCGTGAAGAGATGAGAAAGAAAACTCGGTTCAGCTGGACTTCACCAGGCTGCATCAAACTTCTAGAGAGTCCAATGCCAGGAGGTTTATTGCCAGCATATTTAAATACAGTGCAATTTGGGAAAAGGTTTCCTGGTGTAATACAAACCCCAGTGCTCAGGGAGGCGTAATTACATCAAAACTCTTCACAAAGTTCATGTTATTTCCCCTAAGAAGACGGATTCCGGAGATGAGCTACCTCTATTAGCGTAAGGGCCTAAGGAAGGATCTGGGATAGTCTCAGCCATACAGACGGCATAGAGGTCACTTGGTCCATTCGCCATCTCCAGTCCTGGCTGTGGGAGCTTGGGGGAAGCCCCTGGCTATATAAATAAGGCGAGGGTCATTTTTACTGCTAGCCACCTCTGCACTAGTGTGGATGCTTGGTAGGCCTGGCCCACAGATGAGGCCGACACCAAGCTGTTTATCCCAGCTTTTTAGATGGAAAATAGGTTACATGTCCTTCCCTTTGAAGGGAAATCCCGCAGGCTTAGCATTCCCGGTTTCTCTGGCGATATGTTCATGCTCCCAACAATTTTAAGTTGCATTGACTGGTCTGTCATATGAGGTAGACAGTGGGTAGGGTCTGTGTGAGCATGCATGTGCTGTGCTGTGCGTGTGAAAGCCAGAGGAAAACTGGCAGGAGCTGGTTCTTTCCTGTTACCACCTGGGTACTGCTCTAGTGGGAAGTGCCTTAGCCCAGGCACCTCTAAGGTAGTGCTTGCAGTCCTAATTGCACAATGATGATATGGCCTATCCTGAGAGGATCCCATGACGTCACTAGAAAACACTGGTAAGCGATAATGTCAATAAAATAGCAAGAAAAAAAATCAAAGTACAAAAGTCAGCAGCTTTTCATAAACAAGCAGTAGGACCTCTGACAAGATTTTAACCTTTCAAACTGCTCAAAGAAAACAGATAAATGCTTCAAGCGTTAAATACATGCAAGAACATTGTGAAAAGGACTTGGTCTTTCAGAAAATAGTGTCACGAGCTGACGAGTGGGACTGGGTGGGACTCAAAAGCTTTGGCACAGCCAAGTCATTGTGTGAAGAGACAGCCTGTAGAATAGGAGAAAAAGCTTTGCCAACGTACATCTGAGAAGGGATTAATATCTAGAATCTATAAAGAACCAAAAAAAATTAAACATCAAATTCCCTAATCATCCACCCCAAAAGCGAGGAAATAAAACAGTTATAAAATGAAATACCAGCAGACAACAGATCTATAAAGAATGCCAAGCATCCTTAGCGGTCAGGGATAGACACACTGAAACTCTACTGTGACCTTATCATCAAGAAAACAGCAAATGCTGGTGGAGGTGTGGAGGAGAGGAACTGAGGCAGGAATGGAAAATATCCATTTTGGAAGCTAAAACCACCGTTACCACCATTATAGGACCTCTAGATGGTCAGGTTTAGCGCTATGATGATTAAATTGTGATGGTAACAAAGGCAACAGAAATGCTTGCCCAGCAGAGGCCTGTAAGAACCAGCAGATCTCTCCCGGGAGCGGAAGAACAGACATCTCTACTCTGTCCCATGAAAGGAAGATCTGGGAACATTTTCCAAAGGAATAGGCTGCAAAACTCGGGCCTCCCAGTATGGTTTTTATACTTTCTGAGAAATTTCAGCAAATTATTAACCATTCATATTTTTTTACAAGAAAAATCTCAATTTCTGTTCTTGGACTCTATGTAGTATACATCTTACTGGGGTGCATAGATTTTTGTTTGGGATATTTTACTTAAGACAGGCCCACCGGGTAGCAATTACAACGCACAGACAGATCCAACTACAGCTGGCCCTACGGTCTTTGACAAATCATTGACACTGGTTCCAAACGGAGTAAATATCCCATTAATTTAATATCAGCAGTGCTTTGCGCTGTCTTCTCATGGCCTTTAGGCTGGGCTGGCCGGTGGGAAGGGGACCCAGGTGGTCATATTATGTGAAGCATTTATGTTGTTCCTTGCCAACCACCTCACCCCCAGGCTCCTGGGAGCAATTTCCAGCAGAACGGAGAGTGGAGAGAACTATAATTATGCTTCAGACCTGGCTCATCACCCAACGGGGTCTTGTATTTCTGCATGTGTCCTTATAAATCTTTTAGCTAAGTCAGGGTCTCACATGTGAAATGCAGTCCCCTGGGAGCTTTTTAGTTGAAACGAAAGTCTGGTTTAAGTTATTATTTTTTTTTAAAATAAGCTTTGTGGGCTGTTTACTTATAATAATTGTAGATTTAGAACAGTTATTTTATATGGCCCTAAAACCCAAATCTCAAATGAACTAAAATAGAAACACCTCAAACACACCTTATATCACACAGAGTATGACACATTGTATTTAGGTATCACTTTTGCTTGCCGTGTGTGTGTGTGTGTGTGTGTGTGTGTGTGTGTGTATGTGCGCGCTGTGGACAAAACATGATGTCTTCTACATACTGTACAAACATTTTACTACCAAGCTACATCTCCGTCTTGTTTTTCCAATGAAATAATTTGGTTTCTGCAATGTAGAGAAGTAGTGAAAACAAACTTATCCACTCTGGTTTTCGTTATGTCCTAGAACAACCTTTCAACTTGATAAAAACTAATCAACCATCTGATCCAGTGGGCTTGGTGCTGCCTACATCCGAGTGGGTCAAGTTCTGGAGCCCATTTCTTAAGCAGCACGCTAACTAGCCTCAAATAAAGGGATCGTGTATGTTCAACCCTCCAGGAGCCAAGCATTCTTTCAGACTATGGCTTGGTCTGATGCTATCTGTTAAAATCCAGGCCTAGTGGTGAATTTCTCCTAAAGAAGGAAAACTCACTGGGATGGTTACAGCTTTTGATGATCTTGATGATCTTGGTAGTTCTAGTTCCATAACCGTTCTTTTAGCTACAGATGTAATATCTCTCTCTCTCTCTCTCTCTCTCTCTCTCTCTCTCTCTCTCTCTCTCTCTCTCTCTCTCTCTCTCTCTCTCCAATGTGTGCATACTTGCACACACATATTATTAAATACTTTTCTAATTATGAGTCTACGAGGCCCCAAGAGGCTCTGGAACTTTGTAAGACAGTGGTTTGAATGCCATCTGTCTCTCACAGCCTCATGCACACTTGTTTAAAATCTTGTTGATGGCTCTGTTTGGGGCAGCTGTGGAGGTACAGCCTTGTTGGAGAAAGTATGTTATGGGGAGTGGGTTGTGTGAGTTTATAGCCTTGCCCCACTTCCAGGTTTCTCTCTCTGCTTCATGTTAGAAGTTTAACTTGGATCTCAGAGGCCGTGGGGGAGTGCTGCTCTCTGCTTTGCTCCTGGCTTGCTCAGCCTGCTCTTCCTGGTACCCAGGATCCCTTGCCCAGGAATGGCATCACTCATAGTCCTGTCTGATTGGGGAAGGTTCTCAATTGAAGTTCCCTTTTCCAAATGACTCTAGCATGTGTCTAGTTGACAAAAACAAGCAAGCAAACACAAACAAGGCAAAAAAAGAAAAAAAACAAAGTACCAGGACAAACCACAAGTCAAAACAAGCTGCTGCTTCTTCATATTGCTTCTTGTCATACCCTTTTCCCACTCCAAGGAAAAGTAACAGATCCGGGAACGGTGGAAAACGTGGGGCTCAGACCAAGGCAGGAGGAGGGCGGAGGGAGCATTCACATTTTCTGGGAAAAGCGATTGTCGCCACCATCTAATCCTTTCTCGTTCGCGTTGCACTTCAGCGGTTGTAAGGCTGATGAGAACCTCCCCAAAGATGGATACGTTAAGTCCGTAGAATCAGCTCATATGGTTTCAGAATTAAGGACTTACTGGGGTATTTTTTAAGCCAGGAAGGTGTGTGACTCGCTCCCCTAGTGAGGGGAGCATCTCACCATGCATTTTGCAGTGTTGGGGACACACATTTGCAGCTGAAGGACACTACTTGTATCGGAGCAATTTATTTTGCTTACAGCGTTTGCATTATTCTAGCTCTTAATTCAATTCGATTTAAATTTACTTTGTTTTTTTTTAAAAAGGCGCGCGGAACCATCTGAAAAGGCTCCGGCCAACTCTGTATGTGAGGAAATGAAGAAATAATTAGCATGTGAATATTCCTATTTCAGGACTGATAGCCGCGGAGACATTGAAGGAAGATCCTCTTATCAAATTATACAAGATGAAACAAGAACAAGTGCATTGCCGAGTCTCTGATGTTGGGGACCATGGCTGCTGCTGCCGGGGTGTCTGTGATGTCTAAGGCAGACAGGAATCAGAATCTCAGGTGGGGGGGGGGGGGGGGGGGGGGGGGTGGGCAGGGCAAGACTGAAAGCAGTGGGGGAAGTTTCCAGGGGTATGGGTGAGTCAGGAGGGACCTAAGGAGCCCATGGCATACACAGCTTGTATTCCAGCAGGCGGGGGGTGGGGGGCAGTCAGGCAGGGCTCTGTGAGGCTAGCCTTGCTCTGTATAGCGAGCTCCAGGACAGCCAGGACTACTAAGAGACCATGTCCAAACCCCACCCCACCCCCCAAAAAAAGCTCCAAAGGAGGGGTGATTTGAGCAGGATGGAGGGTGGAATTTATCCATGTGGGGAGGCAATCTCATCTTTTTTCACTTTTATTTTTCATTTTCATAGTGTTCCATTGTAGGATTAATTAGCATTTTTTCTGAATTCTCCTTTTAGATCACTTCTAAATTTTCATTAGTAAAAACAAAGATACAGTGTACTCCTTTGTATATGCCTCCTGTTGCTTATTCGTAAGATGTTTTTTCAGGGAACTATGAGGAGGAATGGATGATGTTCTGAGCCCCAGAGGATGGCTAGGTAGTCCCCTGTGGCCATTCCACTGGAAACTCTCGCTAACAACGGAAGTTTCGCTTTCCTGCGTCCTTACATGCTAGTACCGACAGACATACCATCTCTCTAACTGGATGGATGTAAGTCCTGGACCCTTGCATGATGGTACTGACAGATGTACCACACTGTCTCTCCAGTGTGATGGATGTCAGTAAGTCCTGGATCCTTGCATGATGGTACTGACAGATGTACCACACTGTCTCTCCAGTGTGATGGATGTCAGTAAGTCCTGGATCCTTGCATGATGGTACTGACAGATGTACCACACTGTCTCTCCAGTATGATGGATGTGAACATCATATTAATTGTTTTGGTTTATTGGTTACAAGCAAGGTTTACAATGCCCTTTGAATATTTATGGGCCTCCCAAAGTCTCCAGCAACTTGAATGTTTTTCTCTATTCTGCCATTTTCTTTATTGATTTATAGATTTTCTTTATATATTTTGATGTCACATTTAAAAAAAATCAACCAAATGGATTACAAATATCTTTAATACATTGGAGTCTTGCCCTTATAGCTTTATTGTTGTCTTTTTTCATTCAGTATTAATTGCAATTTAGACACAATTATCAATATTTTTCTCTATGGCATCTAACTTCTATGACTTGTTTAAGCGTTTCTTCTAAAGCATCTCATATAATATCCCAACATTCTTTCACAATTTTTTTTTTATTTAAACCTTTCATTGGCCTCCAGTGACTTTTGTGTAGAGCGTGTCATAACAGACTCCCTGAGTGGGTTACTGCGTTCCTAGGTTGTCCATACTTATATTCGTATATGTGACACAGATGTCAGCTGATTCAGAGCAAAATCTGAAACCCTTCCAGCGGCAGTGCATGTCTGAGATCCCCATTGTCACAGGCATCACAAAAGCAGCTAAAACTGCTCAATACAGACAGACGTGATTTGAATCTGAGCTCAATCTTCTCTATTTTAAACACAGCAAAAGTAGTAGGATTACTAGCAAAATAAATCGACTTGCAAAAATCTGGTGTGGAAATGATTATAACTGAAGAGAAGTTTGGGGTAGAAACATGAGCCATTCACTTCAAATAGTTTGCATGGGCCAGAAGACAAGGCCTCCTTGCCACTGGGCTCTGAAAATATAAGCTTGAAGTGAAGAGGACACAAAGGCATCAAGCCCAAGAGCCTAAGACAAACTGAGCCACACCGAGTCAGGGGAACGCACGGCCTGGAGGGGGCACTTGTTTTGCATAAAGGATCTGTTTGCACACAGTGCTGGGAGTTGCCCTCTTACTCCCGCTCCTAGCCAGTTTTCTCTAGCTTTTTCTTGTGAAGGCTAAAGGTTAAACACTTGATCAGTTTCTCACCTTGCTGGTCCTTTCTGGAGACTCAAGGCACCATCCTGGAAGCCGAGATTATCCCTGACACCAGTCCTGCTGGTCTTGGACTTCCAGCTTCCAAACTATGTGAGAAATAAATCTCCATCACCTATAAACGACCTACTAAGGACTAAGTAAGACCCTTCTCTTTCCATGGGTATAGGGGTGAAACCCAGGCATCCACTCATGCTTTGGTACTACTGAGCCACATTTTCAGTCCAAAGTTCTAGACTTGAATTCAACAGTGAACACGATCTGGTTACTAGTTCCCTGGCTCAGAGGAACAAAGATGTGGGGCATGCCAAGTCATTTCTGACAAAGCGCCCTTTGGTTGTGGCCAACCCGATGACAGAATGGTGATGGGAGAGAGAGAGGATGAGATGAAGTTCTGGCTGAAGGAGCCACACCCAGGTTGTCCTTGGCCTAGAGAAGCCCCAGAAGAATGGTTGGGAGACATCCAGGGTTATCCATTCTCCTCGGATTTTGCTCTTCTTCCCAAGAGATGATTATCAAGGGTTTTGCAGCGACAGTCATGCTGACTTTAATTGTGTGGTGTGTGACTCAGGCTGCCCCATGGTCTATCCCTGGCACTTTTAATCTAACCAGACTTGGCCCAAGGCTCAGGAGAAAACAACTACAAGTGTCATAGCCCGGGGCTGAGGTTGGGGGAAGCTCGCCAACTCATTATTATGGTGCTGAAAATCTCCCTCTGGAGAACCCTGTACTTAAGCCTTCCATGACACACTTTGTTAACTCTTTTAGATGAAGACAGACTATGTGTGGGAATAAGATATCCTGGCTCTTTAAACTTGAGTCTGTAGCTCATTATACACACACGGGGTGATGTGGTTTTCGTCTGTTTGTCTTCCTCTACCTTTGTTGGATGTCATTGATCTTGACCGAAAACACCACTCATATGCGATAGGAAGCCAATGGCAATGATTTTTCACTCTGCATGAAGGCATTTGCCTGTTTCAGAGACTGTTTACAGTCTTTCTGTGATTACCCAAGTTCAGATTTCTTTTGTATAGACAGAAGGGCTTTAAAAAATCTGATGAATCCCAATGTTGGCGCATGCTGAGAGTCATCTTGACCTCAGAGTGGAAGTTTATCTTTTGAGGTTGTTTTGACTTGGGGAAGGATAGACACTGGAACTTTCCATGGAGAACACTGCTTGGTTGGCTTGTGTTCCTTCTTCATGATGTTAGAAGAGAAGGCCTGCTCCTCAACCAAAGTGGCAACCTTTGTGGGGTCAGTGTCTTTGCAGGACAGAGAACGACAAGTGGTAAATTCATGCAGACCCACTCCTGGGATGGGAAACTGGCATTTCTCCTGCTAAATGGGTAAAGAACCCAAGATCCCAGGAGTGCCAGGCCTCTTCGACAAGTCACTAGGAAATGGTGCTGATGTTCGACTGGGGGTGCAGTAGACATATGGGGAATTAGTGGGTACAGAGGCGAGGCACCGAGAATGTCCTAGGAATCCTTCATTCCCAGCTCAAGCTCATGAATGTGCATTGTGAACCTGGCCTGGGATAGCTAGTTGAGTGTTCTGATGCTGACCCACTGGACTCTGGCACCAAGGATCCAGTTGTATGTGGGGGAACTGATTTTGCTACTCTAGATTTGAGGGATTGTAAGACCTTTAAGGGATGAGACAGTGGGGAAAAGTTGGGTGGCTAGGGGTGTGCCCTTGGAGGGGCTAGTGGGATCCCGGTCCCTTTGTGTCTCTCCACTTCCCAGTTGTCATGCAATCAGCAGCTTCTTATACCCCATGCTCCTTTCACAAGTCCCGTTTCATCAGAGGGTCAAAGGCAGAAAGGCCAGGCAGCCATGGGTTAAGTCCGAGTCAGCACGACTTTTCTCCCCCATTCGTTCACTATCTCAGGTGCATTATTACAGTGGCAGAAACGAACCCACTCTTCTGTCTTGGCAATGGCTCACTCTACCTGGTCTTTTAAATTTTCTTTTTTTGTTTTCGGTCTCTTTGCTTTTTGAATTTGAGAATTTCATACATGAGTGTACTCTATTTGCTTCCTTCCCCCTCCTCCAACTTCTCCAATTCCTCTTGGGTTTCCCCAAACATGAGCTCCTGGATTTATATACAGTGTATATAAATATACAATAGATGTCAACATACATGTTTATACAGTATATATGCATAGCTTCTAGACAGTACAACTAGTCCTACCCTGATTTGATCGTATTTCGTCATGACCTCCTAGGATTGGAATGTTGTCCCTGAACAGAAGACGAAGGAAAACCTGGCTGTCCTTTCAGCAGTCATTGCTTGCCAAGAACACTTCTAGGGGTGGGGCCTTGTGATTTGTCCTTCATCTCCGTTGCCACGTCAACTGGTGTGGTCTTTGCAAGTCTTGCACAGGCAGCCATCTTGTTGAGCATTCATGGGAGCAGAGTTTCTGTTTAGTTGTGAAGAAACCATCAGGCAGCAGGATTCCTGGTCCTCAGGTTCTTACACTCTTTCTGTCCTTTCTTCCATGAGGTTCTCTGAATCTTAGGTGTGTGAAGTGGTTGTAATTATAGTTGTCCAGTCCGGGGGTGGGGACTCTGAGGCCAGTTACATACTCTCTGCATTTTGGCCTATCATGGACCTCGGTCATCGTTTCCATATGCTGAAGGAGAAGCTTCTTTGGTGAGAGGTGAGAGCTGCCTTTACCAAAAGATGTGGCTTCCATTTGTGCCTAGAGGGGTAGCATGGAGTGGGGATGCTGTGTTGCATTAGTAACCAAATCTTTATTATAATGTAAAAATAATCTTTGTTTCCCTCTGAGGCCTGGGTCCACTCTCAGCCATTGCTTCTTCATTGACCATGTTACGATTCTACTCTTTGTTGTATTTCAAGTCTCCCCTTCCCTATCAGGTTTTTCCTTCAGTTTACAAATGGTTTAACTCCTCTGTATATTAAGAAAGATATTTCTAGTCTGCATCCTTCATTCTTTCTTTTATTTCTACACAACTTAAGTTCCTTTTTAAAAGGGTGTGTGTATACGTATGTATGCATGTGTGTGCATGTA